CCCGCCGCATCGCGCAGGCGCCCCGCGCGCGCCACCGCGCGGGGACCCGGCCTGCCACTCTGCGCCTGCGCGCCCCTAGCGCCGGCAGCCCGCCCCTCGGAGCGTGTCCCGACGCCCCGCCCCAGGCCGGGCGGTGGGAAATGGGCGGAAAGCAAGAGCGGAGGTTGCGCCACGCCCCTCTCGGCGCGAGCCTACACCCTCTCCCAATCAGCGCCCCCCGTCGTTCGCTCACGGCCTCTCATTAGCCTGGTCCTGCTGGAAGGCGGGAAGAATGGGCAGGGCGTCGGGCTAACGCCTGGCCAATCGCCGGAACCACCGCGAGCGCCCCTGGTTGCCCCTGGAAACCGAACAGCCGGCATCTGGGGTCAGTGGCGCTGGAGGAGCCGGAGGGAGATGGACAGCCCCTCGGAGCACAATGGGGACCCTGAGCAGGAAGACGGAGACGTGGCAAGCCTGGCCTCGAGGCCGTCCGAGATCAAGGCCAGCTCTGGCCCCCAGTCTCCAGCCGAGACGGCGGAGCCGGAGCCGCAGCCGGAGGCCGTAGAGGCCTCCGAGGAAGGCGTCGCCGCGGCCGAGCCGGCCGAGCCCGCCGAGCCCCTGGAAAGGCCGGAGGCCACTGAGGCTGCGAGCCAGGAGGGGCCCAGAGAGCAGGAGCGGCCGGCCGAGGCCGAGCCAGAGGAGGTGGCCGAGGCCGGACCTGAGGAGCCGGCCACGCTCGAGTCCGAAGGCGGGCCCGAGGAACCCGAGGAACCCGAGGAAGAGGCGGAGGAGGGGCGGAGGGAGGAAGCCCCGTCGCCGGGTTCTCTGCCGCCGTCCACCACCGACCAGGAAAAGGCTGCGCCCGTGCCGGAGGCCGAGCGTGAGGGACGGGAGCAGGAGGTTCCGGACGGGGCTCTGCAGGGCTTGGAGTGGACCGAGGAGGTGCAGAAGGTGCAGGAGCAGCGGCTGCGCGCGGAGCTCCTGGAGCAGTACCGCTCCCTGATGGCGGAGCGCCGCCGCTACCAGCGCTACAACGCCTACCTGCAGCACAAGATCTCCGAGGCGCTGCTCAAGAAGAAGGGGCTGGACGCCGCCGAGGGGGCCGCCCGGGGCGCGGAGCCCGAGTCCCGCGAGAAGGAGCAAGCGTACTTCAGCCACCTGGCCGTGCTGGAGGAGCTGAGGAAGCAGCGGGCGGACGACCTGGGCTGGTATCGCCAGGAGCTGGGCCAGCTGAAGCGGCAGTGCGAGGAGAAGCTGTCCAGGGCGGAGAAGGCGTGGCGAGACTTCCAGGCGCTCAAGAGGCAGGTGATGTTGCAGGCCATGGGCAGCTGTCGGACGAGGGGCGGTCGCCGGGCCGCTTTGCAAGAAGTGGAGCAGATCCAGGCGCTGGAGGACAGGAAGGAGAAGGAGATGCGCGCCGTGCGGCTGGAGAACGTGCAGCTGAAGCAGGGCCTGATGCATTTTGAAACCAGGATGCGGGCCCAGGAGGACCTGGCCGAGGGCGTGCTTCTCATCGACTTCGAGCAGCTGAAGATTGAGAACCAGACCTTCAATGAGAAAATCGAGGAGAGAAATGAGGAGCTTTTGAAACTGCACAACAAGGTGAACAGCAACGTGCAAATAATAACCCACGTGAAAGAAAAGCTACACTTTGTGGAACTAGGAAACGCAGGCAAAAAGTCACAGCTTTTGGAAATCGAGGCTCAGGTGGCCCTACGGAGGGACATCTTGACCAAGACTAAGCAAGCCAGAGACGGCCTGCGGCTTGACAACATCACGCTGAACCAGAAGAGCGGGCTTCTGGGCAAGGAGTCGCTGCTTCGGGACATGGAAGAGAAGGCGGGCAGGGCGGAAGGGCTCCAGCAGCGCCTCGAGTCCCTGAAGCGCCACCACGCGGGCCTTACCCTGTCCCGCCGAGGAGTGCAGCAGAAGATCCGCGAAGCCAGAGCCTTTCTGCCCTCTTGACGTGGCTGATGAGAAGATCGCAGCACGTCATCCTCCACCAGCGTATTCTCCTCTTGGTGCCACTCTAAAAGGCCTGTGATGTTTAGACGGAACTACACTTTGTATCTCTCACAATTTTTCAGCTTCCAAAATTGGGTTAGCAGTCAATTTTATTGGGGTTAAGTAAAATAGGGCCAGAGAAACAAACAACAGGTAGTGTACCTACTTCTCCTAAAAAGCTGTCAAAAGCCTTTTTGTATTTGAGCAATTCCATAATTTCAATGGCCTGATACTGAGAACTGTTCCTCTTCCATATGCAGGAGGGTTCAACCAACGGGCAGGATCCCCCAAAATCCCTGTGCATTAAGCTCATCATTAAATCCCTTTGAATTTATTAAGCTGTGTAGTACCAAGTCAGTCCCAATTCAAAGCTCACTAATTCCCTTAGATTAACCTAAAGTGTGTTTCCTTTGAAGCCAATAAAGGTTGATTAAAACTCCTTGTCACATTCCACAGCTTGAATACGCTTTTTTATATTATACTTATCCAACCACACACACGTAACAATAAAGGGAGTATAAAACTTCGACTGCCTGCTTCCCTTCTCCTTAGCCTCATCTACAATTTTTGTTTTTTCTCCACCTGTTCATCAAAGCTAAAGTTAAGTAGTAAATTGCTGGCAAACAGAGCTCTTTCTGTGTCCTCAGATGAAAAGCAACACTGGGTTCTTCTGTGGTTGGGGAGGTTTCGGAGTGAAGCTGGCAATGTGCACGGGGTGCCTTCACCAAGCAAGCAGCTTTCATCGTAGGTGTCCATCCCTTCGGGTCTCTAGAGGGAGAACAGGTATCTTCAGCTGATTTTGACCCATTGGCAATTATCCAGGGTAACCTTGACCCCACTCACAAACAGCACAGATACAAAAGAGATTGAAGAGGCGGCCTTGCTTTAACGGGCACAATTACTGAAGTGCTCTCAAGTTATACTACCGCATGCTGGAGATGTTACAGTTAATTGGAAGAGAAATAATCTGTTGATTACTTCATAACAAGGTTCTTTCTTATTAGATTATAGGAGAGCTCTTAATCATAAAATACCAACCCATTCACATTGTTTCTTTAGATGGCCTCTGAGGAAGTATGCTAGACCCTAAAGCACCCTCCCCCCCATCCTGCTGACATGCTGCTTAGCCCTGTCCCAGCCTCTGACCCACTGCTTTGTGACCATCTGCTTAGTTCTCTGCACCCCAATGAGACAAAGCCCCTGGAAGGCAAGGACTTTGGGTTTATCAACTCCCCACCCCCAGTAGTTAGCACAGTGCCTAGCACATAATTGGTGCTCAATGAATTTGTTGAGTACGTTAAGGTAATGCCCATGTCATTTCCTGAAAATAAGCGTTACTTGAATGCCTATATGGATGTCAGGTGCTGATAAGTCCTATGTCAGATTAAAACCGCTCACGCTGGCTGCTGGCTACACACGGTAGCCCATGGCAACCCACTGCAGCAGGGGCTGCAGCCGTCGCCGGCGACTCACGGCAGCCCAGCTCCAGGTTGAGCTGTTGTTCAGCATCTTAGCTGTAGAGGGCAGTGTCACTGGCCCTCATATGTGGGATCCGAACTTGGGCCCTCTGGCGTCCCAAGCCAGTTCTTAACCATCGCGCCACTTGGTCGGCCCTGGATAGGTGCTTTTGAATCTTGGTTACAGATGAGGCTTAGAGAATTTAAATTCTCTTCCTAACCTGTAGGTAAACTAACTTTAACTTGGGTTTAGTTTTGATTGGAGCAGTTTAAGAAAAACTGTTGGGACTGGGGTCCAGCAGGGAGTAACTTGTTTTGTTGTGTCGTCAGGGAGGCCACTGCCCCTCCCTCCCTCCACAGGGAGCCCCAAGGGCTCAGGCATCCTGGGAAAGGGGTTTGGCAGTTAGTCCTGAACAGGGCCTGGGAGTGGCCTGCCCAATGGAGCAGCTGGTCCCTATAGCGAGCTGGCTGCAGGGGCTGAGGTGCTCACGGAGGAGCCTGGAGCAAAAACAGGAGCTAGACATGCTGTGGGCCTCTTAGAAATACCTGGGACTTTAAGTCACTGGCTGAGTTTCTGGGGGGAGGGGGCCGCGGGGCAGTATGTGCTCTTCACGGGGCCCCATCTGAGGACTTGCTCTGGCCCCCTGGCTTCCTTCTGCTGGCCCACCTGGTGACCAACAGCTCGTCTCTAGGTCCACTGGGCCTCGCCACCTGCTGTTGCAGCATCCCTCTTACCTTCGTGGCAGGCTCCACACTTCGGGTGGTGGGTTTTGAACTGGCAGGCCCCCGGTTTCACTTAGGAAAACGTTGCCAACTTCTACCCCCACTGCCAGTGCGTTTCCCTGAGGCCCGCCCCCCGGAGCCAGCCATTAGGCAAGCCTGGCGTCCTTCCCAGTGGCCTGGCGCCTTGCACACAGGTGCTCAGGTGAGTAAGTGACTCCAAGCCTCACCTCAAACGCTGCCCTTGGAGTTGAGGTCAGCCAGAGGAGGAAGGCTTCTGAAGGCCCCGAAGCTAGCGTGTTCTCTGGGGAGGGGCATTTCTGTGGCAGCGCAGCTCTGCCACTCAGTGGCTATAGGAGCCCAAGCAGACTTCTCTGAGTCACACCTTTGAAGCAGGGACAGTGACAGAGCAGCTGTGGAGATAAATGAGGCCTTTCACAAAGCATTTAACCCAGGGCCTAGCATGGGTGGCACCGTCAGCAAGCGCCCAGCAAACCTGACTGCTGTCAGCCATGACCACCCTCGTCTGTCACTCACCACACAGCCTGTGGAGAATGACCTGCAGAGGCAAAGCAGCTCACTGGTGAGACGAGTGGGACAGTTTCTGAGCATTGTGCTGGGGGCCGAGGACATCCGAGCAAACGCCCCTCAAGCTGCTCCATGTCCAGGGGACGATGTGCCAGGAGGCAGGTAACCCAGCGCGGGTTGGCGAGTTCCCGGCACCGGCCCAGGAGGCCCAGGGGCGACGCAGGAGGGGAGGCTGCGTCTGCTCAGCTGAGTCGCAGAGGACAGGGCAGAGCAAGCAGGCCCTGAGGGCTCCCCCCTTCTCGCTGGGACCCTGCTCGCTCCTGCCGGGCCTCGGCCTGAGTGGCTGACAGGGCAGCATTCACTCTGCCTGGTTCAAGGTGACCTTGAGGACCGCTTTAGGCTCACCGCCACTTTAATGGGAACGGAGGCACACACTGGCCTAGGGTTACCCCGCTGGCTGGTGGGGAGCAGGTTTCTCAGGGAGGCAGGAAGAGCCCAGGGTGGGCACAGAGGAACCTGCCGACATGCTGGGACGGGGTGATGGGCTCAGGGAGTGGGAGCGGGAGGGTGTGGCAGACACGTGGGATGGGGGAGAAAGGGGAGAAAGGCGTGGGCAGAGGTCAAGTTGAGAGAAGCACAAGTTCAGGGTTCCCCTGCAGCTTGGAAGGGGCACTCTAAACTCTTCAAGCCCTTGACCAAATTACCATAGGTGCACCATCTTTTTGATTTAGCTGATCCTAATAAGGGGATGTTAACCTACTGAAACGGTACCATACTCAAAGTCGTTTGTGCCACACTTCAAGGTGAGAACTTCAATTTTAAACCAAACTACAGTGAACAGAAGCAACAATTTTACAGGACTTTTATTTAATAAAACCACATATTTACAATTCAAAAAGTTCTAATTTGATACTTTACTAAATAAAATTAAAGGTTAACTGTACAAGCAATTAAAACATGATATGTAGCAAGTATCATCAGGAGTTTTCTATCAGCAAATTATTTAAAATAGTCAAAACTGAGCAGTTAAAAAGTACCTTGTAAAGTGAACCTTGTTTCTAGACGAGATTTCAAGGGCTGGTGGGGATGCAGCTTTTGACTCTAAAGTGCCGGTTGTTCAAAGGTCCCGACCCTGAAGTCTGAGGTTCTGCGAACCAGTGGCCCGGGAAGTGGAAAGTGCAGACTTCCGAAGGGTGCAGCATTTCAATCTGTTTCCAGTTTTCTTAAACGATAATGTCACAGAGAGCCAGCCCTGTGCTGTGCAGCCACCCATGTGGCCCTGGATGGGGACCTAGAACTCCCCGGCCTCTGAAGTGGGCACAGCAAACCAGCAAGACCTCACTGGGTCCGGGCACAGGTCATGAAAACATCTTCGGAACCAGGGATTTGGTAAGTATTCCAGATTGGCATGAAAGCCTGTTGGAAAACCTAACACATAAATGGTGCTATCCAAAGAGATTTACGTCAAACTGTTTGACGAAACGTGTCAAGGGCTGGGTTAGGAACGCACGAGCCATTCCGCAGATGCAGCTGAAGGGACTGCACTCCACCCTGGTGCACTACTTTGTGTCACGACTTAAGGAATATCTTTATGTATAGTAAGAAAATATATACATCTTTCAGGAACAGAAAGCCCACGTCGTGGAGCCAAGCTGGGCACACGGGCGAGGACGACTGCCCGGCTCAGTCTGGCTTACATTCAGCATCGTGGTGTCAGGGCACGGCTGAGTCTGGAAGCCGAGGCCGCGGGAAGACAGACCGCCTCCTCCCAGAGGCCAGGCGAGTCAGCGTTTAAAGGCTGAGGCAGAAAGTGGGATCCGTGATGCTCTGCAACCTCCCTGGAGAATTCAGTGAAGGAGACACGGGAACAAAGGTGATCCCGGGAAAACCACACAGAGCTGGGGTGGAGGGCAACTTGCTACGCAGGTAGACGTGTCACTGCGGCTATGGCAGGCAGAGAAAACCTACAAGGCAATGCCGGTCAGGCTTCACCCCCACCCCATGCCTCCTTGTTGCATGCTCCTCTCAGGGCCAAGGGCGCTCCCAACACCACAAACAAGACCAACCCTGGGAAGCTCCTGGGGGTGGCGAGAATGGCTGAGAAGGCCGGAGGGTGCCAGGCCACAATGCGGCACGCACCGTGTCACCAACAGTGCCCTTGAACCCGAACCGCCCAGCACGCCCAGAGACCAACACGCCAGTGTATCATCACGTGGGGAGCTGTTTCCATAGACATTTCCTGGCCTTTGTGCAAAAACTATTCATTTTTTTGAATTTGGGTAACCAGAGTTCTTGATATAAAGTTCTCAAAATTAGTCAAGGAAAAGTGAGAACAAAAAAGGTGCTAACGGACTTGGGGAAACCGGGTAAAACGGGGCAAGGCGGATGGCGGACGCTGAGGCCTGTGATGAGACTGTCGGGCCGCTGGGTGTGGTGCTCGCTCCGCAGTCCTCACAACGCTCTCTCTTTAAGCCAAAGGCGTGAGGAGGGAAACACGGGACCTCAGGGCTGAGCCTGCCATTCGGGTGACACAGGACAGAGTTGCCTTCTGTCAGAGCAAGGGAGCGGTCTGCCCCCGCCACCCCCACGCCGTGCTGTCCCCAGCCTGCACAGAAAGAGGAGGCACCAGAGGCCGCAGGTGCTAACACCCTCTGTCCTCCCCTCTGACGGAAAGGGAGGTTCCCTCCACTGTCTCTCCATCAGCTTTGAGACTGTCTGCTGCCACGGCCTTCTGTGTGAACTTGCTCGAACTTTCCACGTCTGCTCAGTAAGTGAAGGGAGTCATCTCTGGGAGCGCAGGGTCCCCCCTGGACCCTAAGCACGCATTTCCAGCCCTCGCACTGTAACTGTCAAGGCAACTTGGTACAACGTCAACCCGAGTCAGGTCGGGTCCCAAGGCGCCCATGAGCACGTGTCGGCGACTAGCCCGTGAGAGCCCATTTTCCTCTAATGCATCTTTGGTAGGTGGGCTTTAAAATGCCCTCCATTTCTGGGAAGATTATCTCGCTACCTAACTTAGCAGTCTCTTTCTTACTAAACTAGGTAAATACAAGCCAGTAACAGCTCTGAGGTCTCCCAAAGCACTTCTCGGGCACCTCGGCTAAGAAAGATTGTAATGTCCTTCCCAGCAGTCGTCAGAAGAGCATTATGATTTAATTAACTTTGCTGAAGTAAGGGAGGGAGTGAGCCAGTGCCCTATTTTTAAACCATGCAGGAGATGCAGTGGTTGGCCATGGTCAACACGAGTTCATCATCCACTGAGCTCTTAAGGCTAAGCCTTGGTTTCATTCTTTAAAAGTTTTGCTTGTTTTGTCTTGTTTAAGGCCAGCTCCAGTATTAGGAATCAAACGTGAACGCAGCCTGTCCTCAGCTGCCAGCGTGTCCGTCTGCACGACACCGGAGACGCTTGGAGATCTGCTCTGCGGCCGAGTGTGTCCACCTGCCGCCTCAGCGCCTGAGAGATGGGCTCCCTTTGTCCACTTCCCGGCTGTCCTTCTGCAGCGCAGCCAGCACCTGAGGAGCACAGGAAGATGTCTGTGGGTGACGCACAACACACACGGAAACACAGACCCCGCGAGGCCCCACGCTGGCTGCCCCCGCCCCACTTCCACCACACACCCGATCACCTTCCCCTGCACCCAGACTCATCTTTCTAACATCGAAACACAGCCATGCCATGCACGCAAACGTCCCACAGCCACTTCCCACCAGCCACCATGCCAACGTCCAGACAGAGCTACAGGGCTCTCCCATGTCCAGCCCTGCACGCGCCTCCGCCCACAGCTGGGCTTCCGCGAGGCCTGCTGGGCCTTACGCAACTGCTCGCGCTGCCCCGTCCCCCTCTTCACCTGCCAATTCTGCATCTGTACAGCCTCCCAGACACCACCTCTTCTCACGCCTTCCTGAGCTCCCGCCTCCCTGCCCTCTTAGGCCGGTAACACCTTTACTGTTGAAACATTCCATCCCGCTGGGACAATGACTATGGCTGCATTTCGTGAACGCCTACTCTACGCCAAGCAGAGCACTCCGCTTCTTGCACGCTGCCTATTTAATCCACACTCAAGCTCGGGACGGTTAACACCCCACCGTTGCTCGGGACACCTGAGCAACGGGCGCTCACAGAAGTGATTTGCTCACACAAACTCACTCCAAATCTTCTGATTTCAAAACCCAGGGGATCTTTGTAGCACCAGGGCTAATAGTGCCACTTCAACGGAATTACAAATTACAAGGAGTAAAGCAGAAACATTTTTGTGTAAATTTCAAATAGGTTGCACAGAACGATTAATAGTAGCTAAATCCCCCTCTATCTTTAAGTAAATGGGACTGCCAACCAAACATAAACATTTACTTGTTTTGAAAAGCTCACCAGGGTCTTAACCTCAAGCACAGCACTTAAGAGAAATGTGCATGGGACCTGGAACCGTACAAATCTCAATGATGCTCCCCCCCACCACCATCAGGCTAATTCCTATCACTATCCCATTGTTAGAAAATGTCCAACAGTCCATAATCTCTGACCTAGTTTTAACCAACAATTTTTACCTTGTTCCTAAAACACTAGAAGCAAAATGACAGCTCTGGGTTTAACCCGTCCCTCTCTGTGCATGGGTGTGTGGAGGGGGACCGTGGGGAAGCACCCTTTCCACCCGAGATGGAAAGGAAGAGCAGCAGCCCCGTGACTGCACAAGCTGGAAAGTCAAGGTGGTAACACACCCCAGGGAAGCCGTCCTCCCGTCCTCGTCTGCTGAGGGCACACATTTCAGCTTTCTGGGTGTGTGCCTGTGAGACAGGGAGAGCCCACTTACTCCGCCCCAGGGCCGTGGCAGGCGGAGGAGAGAGCTCGATGAGCGTCAGTACACTTTGCTCTATCTCAGGCATTTGGGGGGTGGGGGAGGCCCGGCTGGAAAAGCACTACCTACCATGCAGAGAGTACTGAGCTGGCTGGCAAGCCAGGAGGCCTGGCGCTGCAGAATGGGCAGCCCCTCCCTCTGACAAACCCAAAGAGGAAATGTCTGCCCAAAACCCCTGCAGCAGAGGCGAGCCTCAAACCCAGGTCTCCTCACTTCCAGCCCAAGACGACTGTGGCGAGGGCCGTTTCCTCAGAGGGCACTGAATAAGTGCTTCCAGAATTAGACTATGGAGTACCGAGCCCAGTCTCTATGGGGAAAAGGAGAACCAAAGATGAGCTGACCTGCGCCCACTTCTTGTTTCGACTTTGCATCTGAATTGTAGCTATGGAAGCAAAGCATTCCTCTGCAGGCAGGTCCTCGGGAAGCCTGGTGAGGAACTGGGCCACGTGGATGAAGTCCATCTTGGTCAGGATGTCCTCGAACAGCTTCAGGATGCCCAGCGCCGTGCGGAACAGGAACTCCTCCCCGTCGCGACAGAACACGTCCCAGATGCGACAGGCCAGGTCCAGGGGCAAAGACTTACTATACAAGGTGAAGATCCTGGGGAAAGGCGGGGTTTCTCAGATGAGGGCGGCACCAAGAAAGAAGTCTGAATTCAGGTCTAACCATTAGAAACGCTCCAAGTCAGTCACGTTCATACTGAGACATGTACACGGGGGGCCGGGGGCCAGGGGCCGGGCAACACCTGGCCTACACTCTTTCTGAAGGCCAAGTTTAAAGTTTTATTAAACAGCACCATCAGCTTTCACACAGAATCACACACCGTACAATGTCTGAATTACTGATACGGATTACTTCTACAAGCAACAAATATTATCAAGCACCTACTACGTGCTTACTCTGTGGCAGGCGCTGGATCTGAGGCTGATAAGGCAGATAAAGCTTAGAGTCTCGTGGGGGATGAAAACAGGAAACAGAAAGTACAGCCTGGTGCACGTGGCCCTGAAGAGTACTGTACACTCTTCTCCCAGTAGGGGTCAGCACAGGAAAGGCGAGTCCAGTGAACCTGCCCTCCCTCCGCTGTGAGACACAGCCCAGGTGCCATCTCCAGGATGTCTCCTGACCCCGGGGCCCAGCTAGATGCTCCTTCCTGCCTGGGCTCCCCTCTACCCTGGTGCTTATCAGGATGCTAGCTACCTCTGTCTTCCCATGGAGACTGCACAAGAGCTGGGACCTGCCCCGTTCACGCGCCCACAGCATCTAGCATGGCAGCTGGCAATCGCTGCTGAATTAGTGGGCAGACTCCCAATCCACTTTAGATGTCAGACGGTGGGCTTCTCATGACTGTCAGAGCTAGTGCTCACTAGAAGTAGTCATTCTCAACGCGGGGGGGGGACGGGACACGACACACAGTCCCCATCCCTCTAGAAAAATCAATCTTCCAGATTTCAGGATTTCCTTAATGTCCGTGTCAGCTCCAGAGACACACGGGCCCCGTGAAGGCACCTGAGCTCAGGTGCTGGGCTCAGACTGCGGGGCGGCTTGGTCAGGAGGGAGTGTCACCACCATGCCTTCCACAACAGGACGCACTTCCCCATAACAGAGCCACCAGAAAAATTACACCACACTGGCAAGTCTGCACACAGCTTCCACAGGTGTCATGGGCACAGGCTTCCTATCTGCAGTGAACCCCAGGATGCAATTCAGTTCGAAAGCTCCCCAACAGGGTGCTCTGCCGGCAGCAGTCTTTCTTCCAGGACCCAGAGGGGCAGCCCTGCAGTGAACACAGCATGCTAATTACGACCCAGTAATGCTCAAGGCTGTCCCTTATCAGCGCTGAAAACTCTGAGACTCAAGGAAGGCATAACAATTCAAGTTTCATTCAACCCAGATGATGGATAAGGAGACAGATGTGAGAAAAACTGCCCCAGGTCCTGCCAACAACAAGTGGCAGAGCCAGGCTCTGCATTGACCCTAACGCCCACGCCCTAAAATCCAGACTGTGCTAGATGTCATCAGTTGTGGCTGTGATAGGACACTTTATTTTTAAAAGGCACAAGCAGCCCTCAGCCTGAGCCTGTTACTATCTCCGAAACAGAAAATGATTTTATCCCTCAGCCTAGAAAACATGGTAAAAGGGAGGACCAGGAGCTCTCATTCCCAGTCTTGATCTAGAGAACATTCCCAGTTCCATGTAGAGGGCGTGTTCATTTTAAAGAATGAAAAAGAACTGACCTAATCCGCAGTACTGCCTCTCACCTGCCAGCTCGTGGAAATCAAGCCCTTACATCTTAAAAGCAGAGGCTTAATTAAAAAATGATCAGAAAATGGAGTCGCTATAGACAAAGGAGAGAGAGAGAGAGAGAGAGAGAGAGAGAGAGAGAGAGAGAGAGAGGGAGGGAGGGAG